ACAAATCTTAAATATAAAAGGCTGAAGAATATTGTAAAGTTTCTAAAAAAATTTTATATTTTTTAATATTTTTTTATATGTACGAAGTAAAAAAGTAAAGGGACATTAAAGGAATCAAAATCCTTTTAAAACAGTCCTTTTACTTTTTGATTTTTCCTCATATTTACATTTAATATTGATTTTGCGCAAAGTGCGAAAAAACGATTGCAGGAATAGCTACAGATTGGATTGACGTTTGTGCTAAAAGTATAATTTGAATAAGATTAACGAAATGCGTTCAGAAACAAATCATAATTTTTTTCAGAAATCGCCAAACTTTTAAAATCTCTATGTATTTAAACATAATAGTCTCATTTTTATGAAGTTATTTGTACGATGACAAGATATAATATAGTAGCTTGACGGATAATGTATGGATAAATTTTATGCATTTTTTACTTGGCGTAAAATCCATCACAGTTGAAAAATAAAAAATATTAGCACAATGAACACACTGCCGCAATAATTAGTATACATTAAACTTGTGCTTTTTTTATTTTAGCACATAAAATATATTACACAGTCAATAAAAAAAATACCAATGCGCTCTTTAAACAGCCGTAGTAATTTGACAAATACTATAAGTATCAATTTTGTATCTTTTTGAATAGATAAAAGGGGGGAAGGAAAGCGAGCTTTACATTATATCTTTTTGCATAGGGAAGGGAAGAATTCAAATTGTAGAATACATTATATGTGTACTCTAAAAAGAAATAAGACAATGGCAACAGTATGTGCGATAAAAATGTGGTAATATGACGAATATTGTATAGATATATTGTATAGGAATATTGTATATTGTATATTCTTTAAATTGATATACAAAATGTATGTATGCATCATGAGAATAATTAAAGAATAGGAAACAACACTAGAAGTAGAAGAATAAATTTTAATCTAAGAATAATTTTAATTAGTTATAAAGTGTTTCCGTGAGAGAAGTGCTCGCGAACTATGCGCGAATTATGTACATTATTTTGGATCCCCAATGTGTTGTATATGTGTGGATTCGATATAATAACAGAAAGCGGGCGTTGCCGGATGCAATGGGGCTTATCTCGAGACAACAGCGGACGGAAATCGGGACAGCCGTATCTTGAGATATACGGTAAAATTTGAGATCATAGAGAGGCGATCCTACACATCTAGATTCGATCGCGGCGATCAGCAACTACGCCCTGCAAATAATTACAGCCGTCTTTACATTCCATAGCAAAGCGGGCAAACTGGTTTTGAGCGCGACCACTTGCGCTAGGATATACAGAGTGGAAACTATATTTCTTTAGGTGTCACACACACATGTTTCTCAGTCTCGTACCGATCTGCGGATTTTTTCCGGACTTCAGAGTATGAGCTCTTAAAAAATAAATCAGAAAATTGCTACACATATATGTAATAGTTATGTATTAAAATTAAAGAATTTTTTGAAAACCTCATTTTTATTTATTATTGTCAAAATTTAAAAATTTCTAAAAAAATTAATATAGTTTCGAAAACAGAAATAATACCCGAACATATAAATCTATAATAGCTAGGTAAAAATAAAATTTAAAATTAATGGAAGCGCGAGATGTGCTTTGTCTATATGTGTCAAGTTTAATTAACAATATTAATATTAATTTCAAGTTCTCTAATTTTTAACATTAAACTATTACTAATTAGATTTCTGTCTCATTAAATTTCTGCAAAAAAAGATTGACTTAACGATTAAATCATTGATTGAAATCTTTGAAAAAAACACAATTTTATTACACATAATATTTAATGCGATTTAAACGAAAGTGCAAAATCTTTGACAGCACTTAAACATCGCTCGTGTGATATTCTCAATGCATTTATACTTGGTTGTGAAAAGATTTCGTAAACAACAGAAACATACGTCTCCGCGAGTACGGGCTGGCGGTAGCGGTCGTAGGCCGCATTAATAATGTAAGTGTGCAGATGGTGTGCAGTGAGTGCGCGGCGCCGCTGACTAGGATCAATGTTCCGTTCGCGATCTATATAGCCGGTACGCGGCCGCGCGCTGCGATATATAGGTAACAACAGAGAGAGAACCAGACTATGTGGGAAACAACACAATTGCACACGTCGCTTGCTTGCTCTCCCTCTCCCCTTTCTTCGCGCTCAGATAATGCATTTGCGCGAATATTTTAACCAATCGTAGCGCAAAATTTCCATATGGAAATAAGATTTCTTTCTCTCTCCCTCTGTCTCTTTTTCTCAATCGATCCGAATTTTGCCGCAACTTGATTCGCAAGGAAAAACAGCTCCTTTAACTTGCGCCCCAAAGAAAAGATATTCTTTGTAAAAACATGAGTTTCCACGTAAGTTCGCTACTCTCAGGACTATACTTACATAATTTTGGTATAAAGCTCAAAGCCTATTTTAGACATTTTATAATTTCGAACGGGAGACTGTCTATAATTTTATGTATCAAATTGTAAATATATGTTGAATAAAAAAAAATGTATTAATATATATCATATTATTATCTCTCTCTCATTTGAATTCTATTAACAATTATATTAATCCCATATTTGAATTATAATCATATTGATGTGTACCTGTAATTAAACTGTTTTACTATTTCGTTTTTATTAAATTTTAAATGCATCATCTTGATTTATCTCACGACTATACACAACAATTTAATATAGATATGTTACAAGAAATTCTTGGGATAATGCTATAATAAATAATATATGTTTTAAAATTTAAATCATGTTTATAAGTTTATCAGTTTATTATGCGTACACTCTCAGTAAAAATTAAAAGTAGAAACTATATAAATAGGACATGTTCTAACTTTTTAATTCTGATTTTGCAAATAGTTTATATCGAATACGTATTAAATTATACGTGAAAAAGTTTGATCTAACTTCCGCGATGAATTATAGACCATTTAAAATAGACTTAGGTTTTAACGCGTCGTTATTAAAATCAGGTGTATACTGCGAAATAAATAATAACGTATTTTATAAATTTATTCACATAATTTAAATAAATCAAGTATACAGTTAAGTTTCACGGCACATGCGCAGACGCTTGCACATCTTGTTCTCGGATCGGGAGTGCATGCCTTTCGTTTTTGTTTCTCACTCTTTAATTCTTACCCTCTTTTTTACGCGACGAATAGTATCTTACACGAGGCGCGGCAACAAAGAGTATGTATCCAATATACATATTTACATATCATACAATCACCCTTCTTCCTTATTTTCTTTTTCACATACACGGACATATAAAATTACAAAAAGTCATCTACCTAGAATTCAAAAAATTTGAGTCGTGATTCTATTACGCGGCGGGATGTTCAAATGTGACACATGTCTATAGATGCATCTACATATGAGTGTGTATCACACACACGCCTACATATGTATGTATGCACGCGTCATGCACATATACACATGTACGCACGCACGCTCGCACGCGCGCGGAAACGATAAGGTTGCAATGCAGTTTTCTTCAATAAATTTCGGAATGCACCGAAATTATATAAGCATACTCGCAATCGAAAAAAAGACAATATTGCAATCTCTCTGCTTCCGAGTGAATGCAGACGCATACTGTGCGTAGTAATGTATTTACACGAATTCACAAGTAAGTAATAAATATTTACATGAGAATAAAATCGCCGCTGAAGGGACGCCGCTGAAGCTCGACGATTTGCGTGATCGCGCAAGTTTTGTGAACGCACATTCGCGTTCTAGTGCTCGCTGAAAAATCATGAATTAAGTAAAGAAGGAATGGAAGTGTACAAGTGTTTCCAGAATCTTTTTCAGCCTTCACATGTTTTAAAAACGATTAATTTTTATATAAATTTCAAATTGAGATTCGTTCTTAGAAAAATTAAATAAATTAATATTTAACTTTAAATAAATTTTATCCAAAATAATTTTTAAATTATAAAAAATGAGAACGTAAAGAGATCACTTCAAATTAAATGCATTAAAATAGGAACATTAAATACTTCTTTACTCGTTTAATTTCTTATAATGTAATTTGTAGAAACTTCTACACAATTAATAGAATATAATTAAAAATATATTACAAGTTACATCGATTTTATAAAAAATAAAATTTTGTATACAAAAAATTCATATTTTATATAAATAAAATACATTTTACATCATTCAGAAATTCACAATTATGCTGAGAGCGCAATTATACATGCAACTTCGATATCAAGAGAAGTCAAAAGAAGTCTTATTATATCGAGTAAAAAGAAAAAAGATGAGAATAAATACACAATGAAAAAAAAGAAGAAAAAAACAAAAATAAGAAAAAAATAAAAAGGATTAAGCACGTTTTAGAAAGAAATAAAAATTTTCTCCCTTTTGTCGAATAAAAAAACGGACAATCTGTTATCACAATAAATATCTTTCAAGTTTTCGCAGATAATTATGATATGCGAATATCATTTTTCCCTTCGCGACGACGTTTCTAAATTATGTACATGTGTCTCACGAGGATTCATGATTTGATAAGTGCGTAACGTCTTTATAGATTTAGTTTGTTAACACTGTCGAATGTCGAGAACGAGTATCACGTGGACAAGCATTCAACACAACCTTTCGAGAGCGAGCTTCTATCGTTGCTGGCATATTTAAGTCAACAGTGTCGCGATTCCACCTTTCTTGATCTTATAAATACACATAATAGGCGCGAGAACGTCAAGAGCAGTTGCAAAGAGCTAAACTAGGTAGGCCTGTCCGGAGGAGGGTGGAGGTGGCGGTGGTGGCGGTTGCTGCTGTCTCCAAGCGGTCCTCTCGAGGGTGGAATAGTCCGAATCAATGGACGAATAGATATGTTCGGACAGTGGTCTCCTGTGATCTTCGCCAACATCACAGTTGACCATATTGGTGGTGGTAGCGGCGGTTGTAATTAAATTACCAGCAAGCATCGCATCTCGGTAGGCATGATTGACGGTCAGTCTGGGCTGCGCCGGCGATGACGATGGTGACTGTGGTTGTTGATGCTGCTGCTGTGTTAGCATAGGAGCGCCGCATGAATAGGCGGGCGGCGCGTGTTGTAACATCAATGCCGATGAGGCATCCTTGAAGAGCGCAGCACGTTGACCTCCGCGTAGCGTCGAGACGCCACCAGTTTTCTCTAGTCCACCGATGCTGCCACTGTCTAGCGTGTAAGTATTGATGTTGCGTTTGTAAATTAATGGCGAAGATTTATTCTCGACGGATACGTCACCGACAGTGGCGTTGGTTGTGGTGGTGCCGGTGGCGATAATCGCAGTTGTCGTGGATGGTGGTATCGCGTACCTTAATCGCTCCCAAAACCTTTTTTCACCCCATGTAAGTATGAGCGCCGCTGTTCTCAAATAAGGTCGTAGTTCTGGGTCGCGCTCAATCTCGATGCCAACATGACCGGCTTGGATGACGATCAGCTGGGATGCGCGGCCACGCAACGCCTCGTGTAGCGCTGCGCGGAATTCAAAACGCGACCATTCGGTCTGCAAGAAGTGACGACTCAACACGATTAGCACACGTCGGGATGCGTCCACTGCTTCGAGAACGGCTGGTGCGGGCGCGGAGGCGCGTAATACACAAGGTAAGTCCCGATGATGAAGGCAAAGTCTTAGACCGGCAGCGCCATGCTCGAGTTCAACCGCCAGCGAGTGTAACACAAAATTCTCATCGTTTGGACTATAGCAGACGTAGCAGTCATAAGGACGATCGCGATCGGTATCGCAACATCCTACAGCCATTGCGGTCGCGGTGCCCATTGCCGTCGTTGTTGCAGTCTTACTGGGTTTAGCACGCAAAAATCGCAATCCGTACTTGGAATAGGCCCACGCACCGACCGGTTCACGAAACACGAAGACAAGCACTATAATCACGAGAAGCACGAGGATGGCCGAAAGCGTTGCGGCCACCAATGGCAGATAGTCCGACACCATAATACTCTCGATGACACCGCCCTGAGCGAAGTAATCAGAGCAGGCGGTCTCGTTGACATTCAAGCGACGTCGATAGGCCGGCCTAGCATCGCCACCATAATAACACCAGACATCACCGGCATCGATGACTTTGTGCGCGTTGTCTGAGACCCAAGAAGACAGTTCCTGTAGAAATTTGCAGCGACAGGACCACGGATTGCCACCCAGTGACAGCTCGACTAAACGGGCGTTTAGAGTGACTTGCCACACCGGGAAAGTCACTAGACGGTTACCATGCAAGCGGAGGATTTCGAGCGATCGCAACGGTAAAAATGTTAGGTTGCCGATGAAACCAATCGCGTTGTTCTGCAAATAAAGTTCGCGCAAATGCGAAAGTCGCTCAAATTCAAAGCCCTTGAGTTCACGTATCCGGTTGTCTTCGAGATGGAGAATCTGTAGATTATTCAGGCCGTTGAACGTGCGATTCTGAATAGATTCGATGCCACTGGCGTTCACGTACAGCACACGCATATTTTTGCGACCGATAAATACATGGTTTTGTAGCTCGTGCAATACGTTACCATCGAGATACACTTCAGTCGCGTCCATTGGTATCCTACGCGGAATCTCCTCAACTCCAAGACTTGAACAGTCGACTGCGTTCGTATTCCACGTACGGTCATTATAACACTTGCAACCGGCTGGACAAGTCATTTCGCAGTCGCACGCATCGAAGTCGCAGCAGTGGCAAAGAGCGAAACAATGCGCCTCGTAACGACAGAGAAATTGCTCTGAGCGCGCAGCCGAAGCTGGAACGATGGCGACTCCCCGTGGTCCTGAAGTACGGCACATAGCGTTGTCAAGATCCATGACGCGTGGATACTCTCTTGTCGAAGTCTGATTGTTAATAGCCGGTAGCCAGTCCATCGAGCAATTGCAGTTGAAAGGATTACCGCCTATATAGAATTCTGGCAAAGGCTTATTTTCCGGCACTTTGGTTAGCAGTAGCGATGTCAACTCCATTGTCTCGATCATATTAGCGTACATATCTACCCGCGTGAGATTCACTTTATCGGCGAACGTATTCGGTCGTACAGTACTGATATAATTGTTATTAATAAATAACAGCTCCACGCTATCCGGTACGGATAACGGCGAAAGTTCGGTGATGCGATTGTGACTCGCGTCGAGGGTCTTCACTTTAGAGTCGCGAATTTTGTAATAATTGCCGAGACTCTCGATAAAGTTGCCATGAATATCGAGCCATTTGAGATTACCAGGTATAAAGGCGTAATCGAACCACTCGATATGATTTTCTGACAAGTTTAACAGCAGCAAACTGGTGATGCTAGTGAATACGCCGTTGATGTCTGACAGAAAGTTGCCATCTAGACGAATAGCTTCAAGTCGGATGTTGCGTTCAAACGCGTGTCTTTCCACATGTTGCACTTTGTTCCGAGCAAGATTGAGGATTTGTAGATTTGGTAGGTCCCACAGCATGCCTCGAGTCAAATTACCGACGTCATTGCCAATCAGGCGGAGACCGGTAAGTTGATGAAGATTGCGAAAGGAACCATTGTGAAATTCACTGATCCGGTTTTCACCTAGGTCGAGGGTTTTGAGAAAGGCAAGGTCGCGCAATGCGTCCGGTACAGCGATAAGCTCGTTGCCACTAAGATCAAGTTCTTTGAGATCAGAGCAATTACGAAATGCCATGGTGTCGACGTTCCCGATCGAATTTCCCGATAGAGTCAAGCGATTCAGTACAAAGAGACCGTTAAAGAGCTGTGCTCCTACAGTATGGAGTCGATTGTCGGACAACTCAAGTGTGTGAAGATTGTAAAGTGGCAGAAAGGCATTACTTTCGATACGATCGATCGAGTTGTTACGCAAATCAAGAATCTGTAAGAAAAACAGATCTTTGAACATGCGGGCATCGATATGCGTTAGCTGGTTGTATGACAAATCAAGCACGATCAAGCGGATCAGGCCGAGGAAGGTGGACTCGTCGACGCGATCGCTGCCGAGGCGATTGTTGGCGAGATTCAACACTAACAGATGCTCTAGCTGGATGAACACGCCCCGCGGTAGATCGCGCAGCCCGTTGTGCGCCAAATGTATTTCCCGTAGATCACGTGTGGTAGTGAACAAGCCCTCAGGCAGCGAATCTAAAGCGTTGTGGCTGGCGTTGAAGGTACGTAACACAGTGAGCCCGTTTAGAACATTCCCACCGATCTTGGTGATCGCATTGCGTTGCAGATGCAATTCTTGTAATTGCCGCAAACCCATTAACGGCCCATCCATAGATAATTGCCGGAGTTCGTTGCGTGACAGATCCAGGATACGGATATCAGCGCGACAAGATTCAACACCGTTGTCGCTGTCACTATCACCGCTGCCATTAATAGTGCGGGCCGTTAAACCAATATCATCGACGTTACGAATACGATTGCCGGTGAGATTGAGAGTCTGTAAGTTGTCCAGTTCACAGAGCAGGTTGGGCGGCAGCGCCAATACATTGCTCTCGACAATTTCTAGGGTGTGCAACTCGCGTAAGCCTAAAAGAGAGCGTGGCGCGAATTCCAGGTATCTGGCGGCGCCCCACGCGGCGTTGAGGGTCTGCACGATGAGTCGCTTAAGTTCCTGTAGCGGCTGAAATGCGCCCTCCGGTATACGCAGCACCTTGCAACCCTGCACATGTAGTTCGTGAAGACCGACCAACCGCTGCCAGCTCTGCGCACCTAGGCTACTTTCGAAATGATGGACGTCACTGCAGCGGATCCGCAGTCGAACTGCACCATCAAGCGACGGTGCTAAGTTGACAATCGCTGTGGGATCGAGAACACGAAGGGCGCAGTCCGCCGAACGAGTGTCGTTGCCGGCTTCGTTGTTCCATCGGCAAGAGGCTGCAGCCGGGCCCGAATACGTTGACATTAACAACAGCAGCAGCGTTGTCGCGAGTAGGTGGTGTAATAATGTTGACATTGTCAATGACATTGACGACGATAACGACGACGCCGCCGTCGTTGTCGCCGCCGCAATACCACATCTCGCCGTCATGTCGTGTCGTGTTCTTACGAGCAGTTTACCCCCTTGCTCTCGACGTCAACGTCGAGTCACGCGTCGGGGCGGCGACGGCGGCGGCGGCGGCGGCAACGACGACGACGACGACGACGACGACGTCGACGTCGACGTCGACGGCGGCGGCGGCGCGACGACGACGACGACGACGGCGGCGACGGCGACGACGACGACGACGACGACGACGACGACGACGACGACGACGACGACGACGACGACGACGACGACGACGACGACGACGACGACGACGGCGACGACGGCGACAACGACCACTACGACACTTGCTTCGGCAAGAGTAACCAACAATCCTTCTCCTTCCTTATTTTTCATTCACGCAAGCACATGAGTTTTCGGACAGCACGTACACGCGATCTGACACGACAACGGCACGATGGCGACGGGGAGGAGAATGACGACGCACACGCATACACGTAACATACACACGCGCGGCTCACAGAAGGAAGAGCGCGCGCGTTCACGCACTTTGTATCACGTATCAAATACGGAGCGGCCCATTTCTCTCGTTCTTTATCGATGGGCTGTTCACTGCACTGCAAGCTACCCTACTATTGTCGTCCCCAAAACACCGCAGCACTTGGTTTCTTTGGCACTTGCGTTGCCACAAATCGTCGTTACTCTCAATATATATTTGCCGTCGTCTTACGACGGTTTTCAAGCTTTCCTTTTCCCTTTTATGATTATCCTTACTGATATCCAATCCTGCGAGATAATAGCGCGTATATGTTTCTGTTCCGTCACAGTATAAATCAATCCTTTCGATTGTGTTACGATTGTGCGCGATGACGAGAATGCTTCTCGACAATCATATCAAAATAGCGCAAGCACTCGAAACACTCATCGAGCACAGTCGCGCTTACTCGCTTCACATCGAGCACTAGCACTGAACCTGTAGACGCCTGAGCGCGCATCGACAGCATTCTCGACCGTTGTGGCCCCTGGTCTCCCCTCCACGGTGCTAGAGGGCACCATCTTGCTAGAGAACTATCGACAAAAGCAGCAGTGGAGCAGGCGAGGAGGAAGGAGGAAGTAGTGAAGCAGATCGGAGAGATAATTGGCATGGTTGAAAATTTTGTTTTGGAAAGTTCTCTAAATAAAATAATAAAAAAATTTTGTTGTATATTTAAATTTTAGTCGTTATTTCTATTTTTGTAAAGTTTTGAAAATATCTTACAAAATATATTAATAGTATTAGGTTTTAATAACTTTATTTTATATAGAATTTAAGTATAATAGTTTAATTATCTAAAGGAAAAAGTTCTTTTCCTTCTAAAAAATTCTTTATTGCTTAATTCTTTTTCTAGTTAGTTGGTTGTTTGATTAAAATATTTGTCAGTTATGATTTTTATATATTTACGCTATGCAGATAAGCGATCATAGCGCCTCTTGAATCAGTTTAACAAAAATTGATTCTTATGGAGGATTCACACTGCGTCCGATGTCCGATGTACGACGTCCGATGTCCAATAATAGAGCTTGTTTTCTAGAAATTCTAGCTAGAGATATTTTATTGTCTAGAAAACAAACTCTATTATTGGATATCGGACGTTGTACGTTGGACATCAGACGCAGTGTGAATACTCCATCATATTCATTCTTAAGGCTCTTGCACATAGTACGCGTTTCTCTCTGAGATTTTATCAGATTGATTACGCAAGATCTATAGAGAAAAGGTTACCTCATGCGCAAAGAGGGACGAGGGGCAAGAAGGGCTAATGCTGTGCGGGGCGAGCGGCAAGAGGGGCAAATGCTGAGCGGGGCGAGCGGCAAGAGGGGCAATGATGATCTCATCGTCAAACAGTAGCTGTCTCTCTCGCACGCTTTAGTGTTTTCTCTCTCGCTCCTTTAATATAGAATTGCTTTGAGTTTTTATCGAAAAAATACTTTTATTTTGTAAAATATTGATAGCACTGGAAATTGCGTAATAAAAATTGAAAAGTAAATTAGAAAGGCGCTATAAATTACATATATTGCAAATTATAGCGCTAGATATTTAACGTTTATAATGTTAAATATCGCTGCAACAGATGCATTTGTGATACAAATTGCTTTGTACTTGTATTTAGACTGTAATATCAATGAAAATAAAATATAATTTGGGGATATATACAAAAAACATCATTTTTAAGTAGTAAAATAAAAGAAAAAATAGTACATATTTAAAAATTATTTTTAAAATAATATATACTGTTTATATGCATTATTTACAAAAGAAATACTATAAAGAAATTTATTTTTTATATTTAATTGTGAAAACCTCAAAAATTGTCAAGAAATTGTAACTGAAATTCATGAATGTAAGTACAATTCTAGGATAATATAAAAAGCATCATACACAAATTTATTATGATACAAACTTAAATAATGAAATTGTAATATATGTTTCAACATTGCAAATGTGAATATTTATATGATAAAAATTTACTAAAGTAGTTAACAATTTTCAAA